CCCCATAGCGTGGGATGAGACCAAAACGCCCCCAACCGGATTCCAAGGCTCCTTCCCCAGACCCCGGTACCACAAATTTGGCAAACCGGGCAAAGGGGGATAGCCGCGTTCCATGGGTGTCTTTGCCAATTGAAGACGACCCATCCAGCCCTGAGGGCAGAGTTGCTTAAGCACATTATTATGCGTGACCAGCACTCTGGAGACCTTGGAAGCAGAACGCACCAGCCTCCTAGACCAGGCGACATTTTTACTGGTGGGCCACCGCACATGTACATGCGACACCCCCTAGTGTCGCCTGGCTCTCTTGGCCGGGCCACTACTGTGCTACGAGACGCGGCCTTAGACGCACATGTTTTCGCCGACAAGCTGAGCCGGGGTAAGTCCCCACCTCAGTGACACATACTGGACATCCTCCACCCTCTTTGTTCAGGGAATGGTGGGTACAGTCTTGGAGCTTCGGAGTGCAATGAACCAGAGGGTTCAGATCGAATCCGCTAGCCAGTTGGCCCTCCCATTGGCAAGCGGAGGGCACCCCAAGCGCAGAAAACACAACGCCCTAGGGTATCGTTCGCTAGCCAGAGTCAACCAGGAGGCAAGCGCTTATACCCTTCCATGGGAGAGAAGGGTAGTGGCACGCCCCCAGGGAGGAAAGAGCCAGGTGGTAGCTCCTCACCCTCTCTAGGCGGATGTCTACCCGGAAGCAGGGGAAGCATGTTTGATGCTCATCTCTGCAAGGGAGAGGGGGGTTCACGTGTTCGGTGAGTGGCCAGGTCACAACTTAGTGACTACTTCAGGCCTTGGGGATCTCACCTCATGGGGGAAGGGAGCACCCCCTCGCAACTGCCGAACACATGGCCACATATCCCTGTCGTACACAGATTGCGCCGGTGCAGTCGGGTTTGGAGACAGTGGGTGACCGATCCCTGGACCTTTCCAGGTGGTGACATCCTGTTACGGGATACCGCTAAAATTTCCATTTCCCCCCGTCAGTGTCTCCCCTGTTGGGCACTACCAGGGGACTCAATCAGACAGGAAGTAGGAGTTTGCTGGGAAAAGGCGCCATACACAGGGTACAGTAGCCGGAACTAAGCCCAGGCTTACCCTAATGTTTTCGTAGTACCAAATCTACAAGTGGCGGGCGTCCAGTTCTGGACCTAGGCAGACTGAATCGGTACGTGCTCCTCGATCGGTTCCACATGGAGACACCATTCAGGGTTCTCCTCTCCATCCACCGTTTCGACTGGCACTGCTGGCACTACCGGTACATACCGATGCACCCAGCGAGTTGCCATCTCCTTCGAATTGCCCAGCTGGACCAAGTATTCGAATTTTGGGTGCCCCCCCCTGTTCGGGTTAGGCACAGTGCCCTAAGTGTTCACCCGAGTGATGAAACAGGTAGTGCTGCTGCTTCACCAGATGTCGGTACACCTCAATCCGTACCCAGACTACTGGTTACTAACAACCCGGGCAAGGGGTTAATAGCCAAACACGTCAGGCTAACATAGGATTTACTTCACCAGTTGGGCTCGTTAGTAAATCGACAAGTCCCACCTCGACCCAACGCGCAGTTGGTGTCCCTGGGCATGGAGTTTTGACACAGAGGTAAGCCTGGCTTATCAAGCGTGTTGCTTAGCGCTAA